TGTGGATCCTCAAGAAACCATTGGTTGGAACCACAGCACTGAGCAGTGCTTTCACTCAGCTGCTCTCTTCTGGGACTGGCAGACAGACCAGCCCCAGGACCTCCTCCAGCCCTGGTACATGCAGTTCTCCTCAGCTTCCCCTGCAGATCTTCTCTCTGGCATTTGTTACTTTCCTCAGAATACATCCCGTTCTTCTCCCTGTGACATGACAGACCTGAACAGAAAACTTTCTAAGGTTAGTTCCAAGTACTTTGAAGACAAGCTGTTGTATCTCTCTGCCACACAAATGTGTTAACCCCATAAGCCCTAGCCCAAAAACTTCACCCGGTTTCAAGACAGGAGCTGTCAGTGACTCCCAGGTACTGTAGTTATCATTGTCCATCCAGACAGGCATGAAAAACTAACAACAAAGGTAGTTTTTTCTGCATTTCTCTAGACTTCATCTGTCGAACTTACTGCTTGACACCAATTATATTGCAGGTCATATTCTTATCAACAGGTCACTTTTTTTTTTTTTTTTTGACTCTTGGTGTCTCATTCTTGTCTTATAGCCAATATTCCACACAATAAATCCACCCTAGACCATCTTCCCTTAATACTCATCTCTACTTCTCCAAATCGCTAGTCAAATTCTAAGGTGCTTCCTCATTTGATTTGCTGGAGTAGAACATATTTGTGGGGTATGGAGTGAGTAAGAGTGAAGTAAGGATATTTGCAATTTAACCTAGTATCTGTGCATTTCATTAATCCTTCCTCCATCAACCACTTAACCTTTATGGGCGTTCTTATTGCCTCTCATTGTATTGATTTCTGTCCATTTCTCCAATTTAGTGAGATCATGCAGTATTTTAAACCTGTCTTCCACTACATAACTAGGTTTAGCTGGGGGGTAATTGACATCAATTTAAAGAATGAAAAATTAAGCTGAATATCCAGGCAAAACTTCCTAATGGTGAGATCTGCTAGAATGCATCGCTATCTCTCCGTGGGATTGGTGGCTGTTCCATTAGCATGCACATTAAAACCACACCCATGGAATACAAGATTATAGATTGGACACAACAACTCTGAAGTAGGAGGGGAAAGATGAGCTGCAAAGCTTTGCAGCTTTCCTCCTATAGTCACATCATTCTGGGCTTGCCCCACTCCCTCCTCATTCCACCCACGAGTTCTCTGAGGATGTGCTGATCCCGCAATATCAACTAATTATGGGGATGGAACCAATGTGGTATTCTCTCCAATACTACTTCAACCTCTGTTGTGGTGGTGGGAGTGTCGTGGCAGCTGTGAGACCTTCTCAAGGCCCATGGAACAGTTGTCTCACCCCTCTTTACTACCTCCTGGCAAGTTGTGGGAACAAACATTTCAGTAAGATCTGCTGCAGTAAGAAACCATGGTTTTGCACTAGAAGAGGATGGATTTAAATTAGATATAAGGAAGAAAGTTTGATTTTGAGCAGGGTGAAACACTGCAGGTTCCCAGAGAGGTGATGAATGCTCCATTCCTGGAAATGTTCAAGGCAAGACTGGGGAGGGCTCTGAGCAACACGTCCCAGTTGAAGCTGTCCCTGCTCACTGCGGAGGGGTTGGTCTAGATGGCTTTGAAAGGTCCCTTCCAGCCCAAACTGTTCTGATTCTAGGAAGAAAGCCAGAGCACTCTAGAAACCCTTGAGCTGGGCAGCAGAGCCCAGCTCTGATGGGCTGGAAGGCTCATCTCTCCTCAGCCTGGAAGCACCCAGGATAAGACAGCACACGTGAGATCATAAAGCTGTCACCTACCCCACAATATCATTTTGGCACGGTCTTTTTCAATGTCATCCATCAGTTCTGTTACCATCCTTCACTTCTTAAAGAAATTACTATCTGATCAGCTTTCCTAGCACAAGGTTTGAAAACTGATTGTAGAAAGAAGCTGGGTTTTGCTGAGGCACAGACCAGATACAGGAGAATGAAGACTTCTGCTTAAAATACACTGCTGACTCTTAGGCTTGGGAGACAGCAGTCTGAGCAGAAGCAAGCGAGTTCTTTATGCACCTTGATGAAAGAGTTTAATTGCAGAAATAGCCAGAAAGAAAGTTCCTCCTCTCCACCTTTAATGGAGAGGTTCTCTCATTTACAAGGGGAAAAAAAAGAAGCCTATTTTCATCTGAAGTTGTTACTACCAGCAACTACTTTTCATTAAAAGAGGACTTCTGTCAGCTCCTGAAAAAGGGAAACATCTTTTTCAGCAACAAAACCCAATATATTTATCTCAAAAGCCAAGTAGGCTGGAATGCATTTTGTTTGGTGGAGGAGGCAACCTTTTTTCTTTCATGTTCTTGAAATTCATCTGCTATGAATAAGCAGATTTTTTAAAAAAAATTAAATTTCCCTCTAAGAAAATTTTGAAAGAAACGTTTCCACCAGCTCTGCTCAGTTAGCAGCAGGAAAAAAATGGCTCAGAAATGGCTCAATTCCACAGCTGCTCCCCTGAATTTTTCTGAGAGCTGAGAGAGCAAGGAGAAGACTTGCCAATTTCTGATTTTCCCTTAAGAAAGAAATTAGCAGATTATTGTGTAGCAATGGGGATGTTCATGGGACAAAGGGTTGACTGCAGACTCCACACTGGTCAAGAAGAAGAGAACTAATTTTCTCCATGGCAGGAGACTCGGGCTACAAATTTGTCAGATAACGAGTAGCCAGAGGCTGATACAAAAGACTAATTCTCTTAGTAAAACCCTTGGAGAGTTTCCCAATATGAGTCCAAGGCTGGCAAGCTGCTGAAGGAGATGGGAAGAAACTGCAGCCATCTCATGAGGACACTGCCTCTGGATTTCTTCATTGTGTTTTTTCTATGCAGCACTTTTTGTAATTCCCTCTGGCTAGAACCATTGAAATGAAACTTATTGACTGAAATTCTGATCCTATTGATTTTACACATGAGATTTGTGTGAATATGAAAGAGCAGGAACTGCTCTGTAACCGCACCCATCTCCATTTATTCCCTGCTGAACACATGTTGTGGGATTGCTTGTCCATCTCAGTCCCCTGAGCTTCCAGAAATAAATTACCCAAAATTCAGATATACTGCACCTATTAGCTCACAAATGTGTAGTAAATATTACTGGTCCTTGAATACACTGAGTTACCTTTTGCTTTCTTTTGTCTGCTTTTCTTTCATACCCCCTCTTTACCTCGTTAACCACGTCCTGTTTTTCCCTATTGTTTCAGAGGTCAGGAGGGAATATGGGAAGAACTTGTTCTGTGAGGAAGAAAGGATGGGAAACAGCACTGGGAGGAGATGATGGCTGCCTGGAAGGAAAGTGCCTGTGACTTCATGCTTAAAATACTCTAAGTGCTATTAGAAATGATATTTCTTCCCCTAAGGACATGGTCCTGGATATGGGATCTGGTGAACTCAGGACAGCAGGTAAGACAACCACAGAGGAGGCCGTGAGCAGAGGTCCCACGTGGAAAACCCACACAGCGTAAGCACAGGGTCACCCACACCCAAGAGCACAGAGAGCAGCCCCCTGCCTTCCCTGAGCCCCTGTGGGGCAGCCCTGCATTTCCCTCCCACAGCACAGGCATGGTCCTGTCAAGCCTCCTGCAGCTGGGTGCTTTTTGGCAGAGAGGTGGACTGGCTTTTAGAGGCAAAATCAGCAGCCTCAGCATTCACACCTACTTCCGAACAACCAAACCTCCCTTTGCAGATTTCTTGTTTACTGAAATGGTCAGTGTCCTTTCCATGGATCAGGTAGCAATCCTTGATTATCCTCATTTTAGTTTGATGCATTTTACCTCGCTGTGCTCAATACTTCTTTCCTCTCTAGATCTTTTTATAGCTAGATTGTCACATATCAATCAATGTTATGGATTAAAGTTGTATATTGTGACTTGTCTGGGCCTGTAGGAAAGCATTTTAAACAAAGTTCTATTTATTTTATTTTCCTTGTTGACACTTGTTTTCTTCTCTCTTTTCCAACCTTGTGAAATGGAAAAACTTGCCAGGAAAATTATGGGACTTTAACTCACTAGAATTCTTAAATCACTGTTATATGTCATGAAATGGTTATGAAAAGAAGGCAGGTCATCTGGTGAGGTCTGCGACCGCACTGCAACACAAAAAACCCAAACCATCTGTTAATTACACTGATGGAAAACATAATCCAACATGGTGGTGAAACCTGATGCTTTGCACGGACCACGCAAACGATTCACGTTGCAAGTGTTGATCAAAGCGCCTGAACTGTGAGGAGCTCCCAAAGGGCTCCTGGCAGGTCAGGTCACAACCACGGCCTTGTGGGGTGGGGCAGGCGCAGGGTGTGGCTGCGGGAGCTGTGGGGGAGCCGGGGTGCCCCCAGTGCCCGGGGCAGTGCCCGGGAGCCCGGTGCCCACGCACCCACAGTGCTGTCACCGCCCCGAGCACTCTGCACTGCGTGATCCCTACGGAACCGTGGGATGGCCTGAGGTGGAAGCCACCCACAAGGATCATCGAGTCCAGCTCCTAGCCCTGAACAGGACATCCCCAAGAGTCACACCTTGTGCCTGGGAGCCTTGACAAAATGCTTCTTGAAATCTGCCAGGTTTGGAGCTGTGATCTCTGCCCTGGGGAGTTCCAGTGCTCAAGCACGCTCTGGGCGAAGAACCTTTCCCTAATACCCAACCTAATTCCCCCTAGGCACAACTCCAGCCGTTCCCTCGGGTCCTGTCACACAAGAAGAGATCGGTGCTGCCCCTCCACTGCCCCTCCCGAGGGAGCTGCAGCCCACGGGGAGCTCTGCCCTCAATCTCCTCTCCAGGCGGAACAAGCCAAGTGCCCTCCGCCGCTCCTCGTACGGCTTCCCCTTTAGACCCTCCGCCAAGGCAGACCCCAGCTCTGAGTCAGCGGGAACGGGGGGCAGCAGCGCAAGCCGCGGCCTCTCCCGTCCGGGGAAGGGCGGCGGAGCCCGGGCTGAGGGGACGGGCACCGGCGGGAGCGCGCAGCCAGGCGCGCCCCCGCGCTCCCTCCGCCCTCCCGCCCGCCGCCGCTCCCGCGCCTCCATTCGGCTCCGCCGCCGCCCGCCGAGGAGGGAACAGCGACAGTCGGGAGCACGGGAGAGGGACGCACCCTCCCCCGCCGCCAACCCGCTTCCTCCTCCTTCTCCTCCACCTCCTCCCCCGCCTCCGCCTCCGCCTCCCGGCCGGGAAGAGCTCGCCGTGCCCGCTGCAGCCCCGCTGGATGCACTGAGCGCTCGGGCGCGGGGAGAGAGGGGCAGGAGGGAGCCGGGAGCCCCGCCGCGGAGGCGCTGCGCTACCCGGAGCCTCACGGCCATTTGCTTTAATTCTTTTATTGCCCCCCGGCCGCCTCCTCCTCTCTGCCCGCGGGAGCCAGCCGAGGCGGCGGGGGCTGCATCCCCCCTCCCCTTTTTTTTTTTTTTTCATTTTTTTTTTTAAATTTTCATCGCCGCCATGGGATGTACCCTGAGTGCTGAGGAAAGAGCCGCCCTGGAGCGGAGCAAGGCCATCGAGAAGAACCTGAAGGAGGACGGGATCAGCGCGGCCAAAGACGTGAAACTACTCCTGCTCGGTGAGAACCCGCCGGTCGCCCCCCATCGCCCCCCTCCTCCTCCTCCTCCTCCTCCCCCGCGCTTATCCCACCTCATCTCTCTTCCAACAGGAGCCGGAGAGTCGGGAAAAAGCACCATCGTGAAGCAAATGAAGTAAGTCCCGCGGGGGGAGCGAGTGAGCGGCGGTGCGGGGCGGGAGAGCGGGGCGGGGGCTCGCGGAGGTGAGCGAGGGCCGCGGGCGCCATGTTTACCTGAGGGGACCGCGCAGGCACCGCGCGGCGCGGCCGCCGCCGCTCCCGGCGCTGTCCAGGGCCCGCTGGTGCTGAAGCGGCGCCCCGCGGCCTCGCCCCCGGCGGCGGTGGAGGGAGGCCGGCAGCCCACCGTCCCCCTCGGCGCAGACGTCCCCGCGAAGCGAACGCTGCCAGTTGAGCTTAATGTCGGGGTGTTATCTGCCGGCTCTGCGGATTTAAACCGAGGCTTCCTATCACTGAAAGCCCCTTTTATTGGGCTTGTGCCTTCTTCTTTTAATTAATGAACGACGAGCTTGGCCGCTCCTCTCATTCAAACCTCTCCTGCTCTGGGATCCGAGTCTCCCTATGGTACTCGGCGCTGCTCCTCGCTGGGGCTTCCCACACCCTTTTTCTGTGTTTAATTAGATGTAACCGTGTAATAAACAGCAGTGAAGAGCCCCACCGCAAGGTCTCTTCCAAGCATCCCCAGGCTCGTGTAAATGCACCCCGTAGGAAAGCAGGTGCAGGGAAGGCTAATAGAGGTGGAGGAACACCCATGGTGCGACTGTTCTCCCCCCACCCATTTTTTAAAAAAAATTAAAATACAATGAAACATCCCGTCCTCCCACCGCTACAAACATGACGGGCTGGTTGGAGGCGGGCGCCATCACGGAACGAGCCTGGGCGCTGGTTCAGGGTATGGATTTCAGCTGGGAGCGGTTGCCGCTTTGCGATGCTGCTGGTTGCAGAGGGATCCGTGGCTGGGAGGGGCTCCCCCGGGACCGGGGCTGCTCAGCGAGGGGAAGAGGCTCGGGGATGGGTGTGGATGGGACGCGGGGAGCCGGGGCTGCGCGGGCCGGCGGGCGGGTCCCGGCGCGGCGTTCAGGCGGCTCGCGCTGGACAGCGCCCGGCCGGGGCTCGAACCGGCGGCGGCGGCGGCGGGGGCCCCCCCGCACCCCC